AATAAAGCCTGGGCTGCTTCACAAAGCAAACGTTAAGGATGTATAACACAGGTTTATTCTGTGTGGAAAATAATTCATTGAAAAACACTAGATTTAATCAAGTTTCCTTCACCTTTATGTGTTTCAGTAAGTGAATTTTTTGGTTTCATTGTTTACTGACAGATTTTCATACCGACTCCCCTGCTGACTGAGGGCAACTTTAGCAGACCTTATAATTAAAGGTATAGTGGAGGATTTTCGAGACTTTTTGAAAAGATCTGCCTTCTCCACTTTAAAAAAAACAAACGGCTATTAAACGCATGCGAGAGCATTCACGAGCCCATTTCTCCTCGTGCATGAGCTGTTTAAAAGTTGCTCTTTGCATCGCTCATACAAGCTTACTTTCCAAAATAAGATTTGCAATTTTTTCCACTATGTCAGACTCACCACCGGTAAGTAAAAATGGGGACAAGCACGTAGGACAGCTTGACGTAAACATCTCACCAGAATGATTGACAATTAGGAGGACCACTTATTTTGATGATCCACCCTGAAAAAGAACATCCTCCAATATGCCTTTAGGAATAGTGTGCAAAATCAGACAAAGGACTTAGTAGCGTGCCCCTAGTTTAGGGGATTGCTCAAATATCTAAGCTAGGGTTTAATGTAATACTTATCAGTAGACTACATCTATTCTAAGGTACACTTTAGGCAATCTTAGTTTGGAGAAACATAAAGAGGCTCTGACAGTAGAGTTAAGCAAATGGCTGGTCAGGCTGGGATCATTTCGAGAATAATTTCCCCCTCCGATCTCCAAATAACATAAGTCTCAGTTTGTGTAAACAGCATTTCATAAGTATTTAGACCGTAATCACCTTAGTTATGTAGATTAAAGTATTTGATCATTTACTGAGTAGACCAAGCAGGATTATATTGTTCACAAATTTACAGAACTTCACTTATAAGTCAGTACAAAAATCACTCTAATGTTGTTATTTGTGCTGTACAACATTATGATCAACAGTAAAATGTATAAAGCAAGAGATGAGAAAGAAATGACTCTTACCGGTCTGGTAATAGTTATCTGTGGGCGTCCTCTGGGCTGGTGCTACACTTGTCTGGTAATACTGTTTGTTGTCATAAGTGGTTACTGCAGCAGAACGCACATAGCTATAGTTCTCCTGCTGCTGTTTAAAAAAAACAAAAACAAAACCATGACATCACAAAGTTTTTGTCCCTTTTCATGGTCTCATAACAAAACATTCAGGATGAAAACTACAGCAAGATCAGTCTTTATGAATTACCATTAAATGCAACCAAAAGAGTAGGCTTAGAAATAATAAAAAAAGAATGTTATAAAGTATTATAAAGGAAAGGGAGCAAAATTATAGAGGAAGCAAAGGGAAACTGACCATGTCTGAGTATACCTGGTACGTCTGTGGAGTGGTGGTGGGTTGTGGTGGATCTGGCTGTCTGTAGGTGTAATCTGGAGGTGCCTGGTGGCTCTGGTAGGCAGGATAAGGGGCTGTGGCCACTGGTCGGGCTGCCTGGACCGGAGCTGGGGAGTATGAGGCGGTTACAGCGTGGGCCACAGCTGGAGCCTGCTGGACACTGTAGCTGGCAGTAGAGGGATGGGAGTAAGCTGTGGGTGGCTGGGTACTAAATGATAGAAGAGAAGAAAAAGAAGCATCACACTATATGAATTTTTATTTATTTATATTCTTATCCATCGGTCCGTCTGCTTTAATTTTTTTTTCATTATTTTATCTAAGAATTTATAAAAAAAAAAAAAGTCACTTTGAATACAAATGTACACTAACAGAAAATGTTCATTTAAAAATAAAAAACTGGCTGTGTTTGAATTAAATAGTTCTGATCATTTTCATGGTAAAGTTTATTTTCATAATAAATTAATACAACATCTAAGATTACAGTCTGTTTCAGTGCAAAGAATACATTTAAATAAAAAAAAAATCAATAAATAAGGAAATTTATTTAAAAAAATGTCAATGTACATGCTCCAAATTATTAATCTGACATAATAGATTACAAACAAGTAGAAAGAGAAAAATAAACTTAGAAAATTTTCAACTGGCCATATGCATTAGTCTCTCTTCGATTGTCAATTTTGCTGTCAAAATATTGTCAGTGTTTTATTTCTGTTCTAAATATATTATACAATATACAAAATAAATGAAGCACATAAATCATTTCAAAATGCCCTCAATGCTGCCAAACTATAATTTTTTACTAATTTTGAGCAGGCCTAGGATACACCCATTGTACCAACTTAGATAACAAGACCCCTTGAAATGACTGTGGCACAAATTTTAGATGAATCCTCATATTTCCTACCCCTGAAAATTTTCGCTTTAATAATAATATATTCTAATTTGAGCCAAATACTTCTCACTAAAGCTTATATTGATGTTTGCTGTTGGCACAGCCAGTATCTGTAGGAGCAGCTAAAGATTGAGGTAATGGTAAAGAGTCCTTCCAACATCAAATATATTCATGCCAACAAAGACTTTACCTCTGAAAGAAGGGCATAAATAACTTTCAAAATACTTGTTGGTTTTTATGTCCACTGAAACAGTAATACTAATAATTAAAAGTAACAATTATCATTTCACATTGTGCATTTACAAAGTTCTTTTTTAAATATAAAATTATTTAAAAACTAACTGGCAGTGCTTAATCAATAAAAAGCTTCAGATGTACAGTTTAAGCAAATTCCATTCAATAAGTAATGCCCCTGGGCCACTTCCAGACGATTGATCGAGCTGAACTTTTGCATGTGAAGTATTTTAAATCTCTATAGATTAAATGGCAATTTACAGCTCTAAACTAATTATGGTTTCTGATTTACAGGTGTTCAAACTGAGTCAAGTCTGAGTTTTTGAATTTGAAAGGACGCACACAACTGTAAATTTTTGATCAAATGAAAGTAACTTATAGTGATAATATCCCATAATATAACCTTGTCAAACACTTTGCAAGGTCATATAATGGGCATCATAACCATAAGTTACTTTAATTTCCAATAGAAAAACTGGATCACTGCTTGTCACTCAACATTTTAGACTTTACTCAGTTCAGACATCTGTAAGTCAGAAACCACAAATAGCTCAGAGCTGTAATTTGCTACTTAATGTATAGAGATTTAAATAACGTCACATGCAAAATTTCAGCTGGATCAAACATCTGGAAGTGTGTCAGGAGCATTACTTATTGAACTCCTCTGGTAATATAGTTCATACTACAGTGATGCATGTAAAAAAAAAACAATCCTGGTGTGAAGTAAAAACATGAGGCAAACTTTGATGATGCACAGTTCATAAAACGGATCCCTGATGGCTGGAATTCAACCACAATAGTAGATTGAAAAGGAAAGCATACCTAACTGACAGCAGATTATAATTAATTTTACTAGATTACCTGTCAGCTTGAGGAGGATTTGTTAATTAAAACTTGCAAAAGACAAAACTGGAGGCTGTTTTACTAACTAACTGATTTTCTGCTGGCCTATAGGCATTCACCTGACTCTATATATGCTAAAACTTTGGGTTATTGAGAGAGCTCTGCAGTGATCATTGTAAACCTCTAAAATATCATACGCCGGTAAAAAACCTCACCTGCCTCAGGCATCTGCGTTGCTGAGCCGCATACGCCTAACTTGTTTTGATATGTCACGCTACAGCAACAAATGAAAAACAATAACGGTCCACATTAAGCTGTTCTTTCACAGAGGAGGTCCAAATTGAGGTTCATCTAATGTCAAGCCGCAAGTCGGATAAACGCTGGCCTGTCAAACTGGTTAGCTAACGTTAGCTAACCGTTTCTAAAGGGTCAAGGCAACCCCTCTGACGACCCCCGTCCCCGCGATATCCTCCACAAACCCACAACCTTGACCTAAAAGATTAATGACAACAACTCATTTGATGTGAAATACCTGTACTGTGGACTGGCACCATGTGTAAAGCCGAAATAGTTGCTTGCAGCCATTTTAGCCAACCTCCCCGCTACAGTACAGTCCACACAGGCTGGGACAAACAGCAGCGAAGCCGTGAAACTTAACTTCAAGATAGTTCCCCTCCCCCTCTCTTTGACTCATGCAAATCCGACCGCCAAAAGGGGCTTTAAACTGCAAACATATGTTATTTCCTGGTAAATAAATTACAGTGAAAACTACTGGTAATTAAAAATATACATATATAAAGTTTGTGAATTTGAATGGCCTGTTTTAAACATTTCAATGATGCTGCACTATTTATTAAGCGAAAACGGAAGTACTTTGAAGAGTACATTCATCGTCGCAAACCTGAATCAAATAAATACTTTTAACTGATTTTTTGTTCGCCTGGACAGCAATATGAAATGATGATCATGACAATGATTATAATTTGGAAAACGGAGATTAAATACATGGTAATAAAGATAAATATTAGATACAATTTAAATATTGATTGTTTTATTATCAAAAAATACAAATGTATGTTAATAGTTGACAACTAATGCATTACTGTGACATATGTTCTATATTTTTTTATTGTCTTTTTAATTAATTATGTTATTATTACACAGTTCATAATAATTACGTTTGTATGATTATTGTATTAATTGTTATTATCAGACAATACAACATAACATCAGAGGTGTTTGCTTTATTGTAATATACTAGGAAAGTATTTAACAAGAAATAGAGACAATTTAAGCCGCTTCTACATTTTTAACATAGGGACATTTCAAATTTGTATTCCAGTGAAGAAAACCTCTCTTCATGATGCACTATAAAGGTATGGCCTACATATATAGAGAAGTCCCAAAGCACAACAACTGTACCAGAGAGATGATTGGCTGGCCAAAAGTGAGGTAATGTGCTGCATACCTCATGTTGTATGAATAACTGTGTGTTGTGTGCTATGTATGAAAGAGACTGGGGCAATGAGACGGAGAGGGAGGGGAGAGGGTTTGGGTGGAAGGAGAGAGAGAGATGCTGTTGCCAGGGAACACCAGCCACATAGAGGACGGCAGAAAAAACAACTGCAGGATTATCCAGCAGAGTGAAGGACACAGAGTCCAAAGCTCGTTTCCCCCAAGTAAACGTAGGGTTAATTAAAATGGTTCCATGGAGGATTTTGGATATGGTCGAGAAAAATACATGGAAGATATAAAATTGTGATGATGTATGTGAATTTACATGAAGAAAAAAAGGGGAGCTAGATAGAACGTGCACGGTGCCAGAGCAGATGCATTCCCATTAAAGGAATTTTTTGTCTTGGAAGGGTGCAAAAAGACTATCGACTTACTCCTCACGGCCAATCTCTCTCCAACAGAGGTGGCCAAAGCTGGAGAAGAGGAGGAGTGATCCAAAACAGAGGTCCCCCCTGTCTCCTGACACCTGCTGCCTGCTATTTGCTGACACTGAGGACATTGTAGGACTGTGTCGGTGCATGAATGTTTATGCATATATATTCATGAAAGACAGACCAACCCATGCTTCTCGGCTGATATGGGAGATTCGACCCTGAAATCTTTGCATATGTGACTGAGGAAGAAGAGGACACCCAGACATAGACCTGACCTGGAGAGAAAATCTTGCCATCCAAGTGAGTTAACCATCTTAAATTAGCATTTTGCCTGTTGCACAGACAACTGATACTGATAACAAGCAGTAGGTTGTTCGTTAATATCCATGATGTTATTCTTTTTTTTTTATGGGAAGTTTGGTTTGGGGGAACTTACGAAGACAGTGGAGACATTTTATTGTAAAGGTGGTGCACATGGTTGTGGTGAATTTCAAAGAGGAAAGGACTGAAGTGTGGGGTCTTTCACTGGTAGTCAATACAATGACGTTATAAGTACAAATGTTATCATTGACATGTAGATCAGTTTATCTACATTGCCTTAAAAAACTTAAATTGTCTCTATATATTCTAACTATGTTATTTCAACCATCTTTGGATGGAGCTGTCCGTCGTTTATGTACCAATCTCATGTATGATTAGAGACTGGAAATTGTTTCCTACACCTATGGGTTAGATGTCATTCAGTATACCTTCACTCGTAAACATTGTCATCAAAACCCTCCTGATCATAATGATTGTTTAAGTATTCCTGTAAAATGTCTTCATGATGTTGACTGCATATTTTGTTTTTTGGTTATTTTATATTTTTTGGTCATCTTATCTTCCCATACATTTGTGATGTTAAAACCCATGTGTTGCAATTAGCTTGAGTGGCACTGGTATAAGGAGCTGTTGAAAGGAATCCTCTCTCTGGTTTGCTTATTGTGCAGTAATATCGCTGGACACCCAACCTAATGCTTTATATCTGTCCAATCAATTGAGTTTCTCTGTTTCTCCTATAATGTCTGCCAGAATGCAGAAACTCCTTAGGCATAATGTACTGTATATAAGAGCATGTGAACCTTATTTTTTAGAGTCAGTGAATCTGAGAAAAGATGGTCAATAAAGTTGTAACTTTCCCATTTTCCCAAATCCATTTTCACTCATGGATAGATCATTTTCTGCAATTATACAGAATATAGGTACTCAACATAATCCTGATTAAAGAAGAAAAAAATGGAAGTGAATACTCTTGATGCCTTAGGCCAGCGATGCTCAAATCCAGTCCTCAAGAGCTACTATCCTGCAACTTTTTGATGCACCCCATTTTTAACACACCTGAATCAAATGAGTGGCTCGTTACCATGCCTCTGCTGGGCTAAATGAGTGGATTGAGCCTGTGAATTCAGGTGTGTTAGAGAACGGATGCATCTAAAGGTCACAGGATGATAGCTCTTGAGGACTGAACTTGAGCACCCCTGCCTTATGCGATGTCATCAGAAGCATGTGTAAACAGAAGTTTTTGTTTTTGGAAAAAAGATTTTATTTGATCAAAAATTTAATTTCACAACAAAATACTAAAATGAGTAAAAGAAAAAAAAAACAATCATGACATTTTCTATAGGTGTATTATATCAGAACTTAGTTGATTTAAAGACAAGTCTAATGTATAACCTTAAAGCATATCCTTATTGAATCTACTGAATTCAGAGCCTTAGAATTACTGTTATTGTACCCACCTAATCTGCATTCAGTTATTAGACTGAATAATGTCTAAAGCATTCATCAGAATGTCACATCTTTCCAACCTTTTGAGGAGAGATGAATGAGTATTATTTCGGACACGTAAAGCCTCCAGTGTTGATAGGGATCAAAAGTTAAGAATGTGTAAAATTAGAGAGCAAAAAGAGGGGATTAAGCCCCTACACGGTGTTCCACACTGGCCTTTTACATTCCAAACTGGAGGAAGTTTGTCGGTGCTTTTTGAGGTTAAGAGGAGTTGATCCCAGGAAGCAGGTTCTGTCCTAGTCTGTCACATGTGCCTCACATGTACCCCTGTGGGCTTGCTTTTGAAAACCATGTGATCCACAATACTTTTCCCTTTTTAAATTGGAATGAAAGAATGCCAATTATTTGATAAACATCCACCCTTAATCAGATTATTTAGGCCATGATGTTTCTCCACTTGGGCCATACAATTGCAAATGATGGAGATTAATTGATGTTTTTCTTCACTCATCCAGTTCTGTGCTATTCCCTCTGAGGGATGGGCACAACAGAGGCAACCCTACGAATGGAGAACATGGAAGTAAAAGATGAATGGCAGGATGAAGACTTCCCAAGGTCAGTTCCTTGTATTTTCTGTTTAGTATATAAAATAATTATATTATCCATCTGTCTTTATTTATAGATATGTATTACACCAATAGGAATAGTAGGATGAAGTCATGTGAGATGAAGCACAGGTGTTGCCAGATCCTAGTAGCTCTGAGAAATGCCTTCTTCTCAGCTGTAATATCTCAGATTTATGTCAAAACGAAACAATAAAAAGCAAAATGAGGTTAAACACTGGTCAAAGTGTGATCCAAATGCTTTTAAAGAAGTAGAACGGCTCAGAAGCTGTGCAGATGTTGCCTCTTTTCATCTGAACAGGTAAATTAATTGCTTGGTAATGCTAGCCAAAGGTAAAAATTTGCATTAGTGAACCTGGCAACAGGCTGGGAAACAGTAAACAGGTGCTTCAATAACTGACCTTTAAATACGAGAAAGTTTACCTTGTCAAATTTAAAGGATGGAACAAACACATAGTGGTTCTACTTATTTGTCTTTATACATCATCAGGTTTAGCATGCCAAATTGTTTTTTTGTTTTTTTTTTTTGTTTTTGTTTTTTTGCAGACATACACAATTTTCTGGACTTTACACACTGCTCACAAAATAAAGGGAACACTTCAATACCACTAATAATACCAAATTTGAAGGCATAAAATATTCTCATAGAATACTTTGTTCTGTACAAAGTTCAATACGCTGACAACAAAATCTCACAAAAATCCTCAATGGAAATCAAATGTATTAACCAACACAGAAGGCAAGAGTCTGATCTTTACTTAAAAAAAATATGCCAATATTTCATCATATATTTGTCCATAGTTGACTTTGGAAAGCTTAAAAGGCATGATATATAACTTTTAAATGTTAAAGTCGGAAAACTGTAGGATGAACTGTACCCCTTTTTCCCTGATACCTCCAAATAGGGGAGACATGTGGTAGACAGGTCAGTATATTAGACCATTCTAGTTATAGACTAGTTAAGTTATAAAACAATATTGGAAGGGTTGAAAATCTTCTAAAAATTAAATGAAAATGAAATATTATGTCAAAACGACACATTTATGAAGACAAAGCTTGGTAAGGAGAGAATGAAAAAAACAAGCAGTCAAGATCCCCTTGGTAGCTTGGAGGAGGGACAAAGACCCACTGCTACAAGTTGGAGAATTTGTCAAAATGCCAACTATTGGTCATTAACCGAATAAATCTCCTTCAATGGAGACATGGGAGCAAACTTTTAGGAAAATGCACAGAATGTTGAAAACTTACATTGCTTTTCTAATGAGAGGAGCTTCTTCAGCTGGGGCAGGCAAACCATGGTTAGAGTTGATAACAAGAGGATGGAGCTGCTTTTTATTGATAAAATCAAAACAAGTTAGTTGATGTGTGCAGGTTGAAATCCAGAACTTAAATTGATAAGGTTGAAATCCAGAACTGAAATTGATAAACTGAAGTAGCAGGTTACTGTGGTTAAAATCAATCATTGGGCACTCCTCCTCCTCCCTCTTTCTTTATTCCTCATCTAATAGGGAGGCAGTGAGCAAGGGAGCAGGTGCAGCTCCATCAGCAAATGGTCTCAAGCTACGTCATGTGATGCATCAGCAGTGAAAAATCAACAACACCACTCCAGGAAAATGGTGGCAGCTTTTAGCTGCATATAGACACAGACAGTGATAGGAATCAGCAGTAACATATCACCGAGGGATGCTCTGCTTTAATGTTTCTGCCGCAAAATGAGAGGAAAGGGAATGACTCAGCAAACTGAATATAGAGGTGTGTGAGGTCAAAAAGCTAAACTGAATCGGTTCCCACAAAAGCTGCATCGCTCTCTCTCTCCTGCAGGTAAGCTGTACTTGTTATCAAGTTCATTGACTAATGATGACACAAACAAAATGATGAAGAAAGGAGAGCACCACGCCATTGTGAAAGAAATTAAATCTCCTGCAGCGTGTCCTCATTTTTTGTGGAGAGGGCTTTATTCATGACAAAGGAGGGGTTGCACCAGCAATCACTGCAGGACACCTCAGGGAGTTTAGACTGAGCCTCCTGCCTGTTTCTTTGAGCTGCAGCTGTATTTTGGGCAAGCATGTTGTCAAACGATATCCAGAATGTTTTTGCCTTTTTATTATAAAAATTAGCTAGAGGTAAATCCAGCTGGAATCGTAAAAACATGTCCTTCTTCTGCTTGTTGCAAAACTATTTTTTTCCCCATTTTGTCACATTATTACCATAAATTTTAATGTCTTATATTATAGTTTAATATAATACCACAATGCATAGTAGAAAATTATGAAGTTAAAGAAAAAATCATATGTATTTAAGGATATTTAGACATAAAAATATGAAAACATGCAGAGTATATTTGTTTTCTCCTCTTTTGAATAAAGACTTTAAATAGGTATTTTTATCTGTATTCCAGCCTTTTGTCTCTGCCATAGTAATACTAACCTGCTGACATTTCTGCACCTCCTTCTTTGTTAAACTACTAAAGCTTGGATTGGGAAAAACTGGATCTGTTGACACAAATGTTTAACTATTGACTCAGATTCCTTTCTGGATTCAGTGCTGGCTGTTTTATGCTGCTGGAAAAACTTCTACACAGTTTCAAGTGTTTTGCAGACACTTTGTCAGGTTTTCTATTATTTAGCTCTCATCTTCTCATCTTTGCTGCTGTTTTACTGTGGCAATCGTACACCCGAAATGATGCAGTGTTAGTTTTCATCCTATCATGGTTTAGCTTTGGTCTCTGACACGAGCACCTCTTGTCCTCTAATACTCAGACTAGTTCTTAATATCTTCTGTTTTGTCAAGGACCGGGCCAGAAGTCTCAGCAGAGACTCCCACATTTTCCTCTCGCCAGACAACTCCTTCAGCTCTGCTGAGGGAACCCTGAGATGCACCCAAGCCAGCCGAGAGACATAGACATTCCATTATGGCCTGGGTCCTCTCCTTGGCCTGGAAGTGCTCCCAGGCGAGGAATCCAAGGATAATCTGAAAAAAGATGTCTAAGCTACCTCAGCTGACTCCTCTCCAAGTGGAGAAGAAGCGGTTCTATTCCGAGTCAATCACACATGATTGAGCTGCTCGCCCCATCGCTAAGGAATTGTCCAGCCACCCTGTGGAGAAAGTTAATTTCTGTCCCTTTTGTCCAGGATCTTGTTCTTTGGATTATGACCCAGATTTGATGACCATTGATGAGGGTAGGAATGTAGACCAACCAGTGAATTGAGAGCTTTGCCTTTTACCACCAGCTTTCTCTTTAGCAGCAGCCACTTTTATCCAACTATTTATTTCCAGCCTTATTTCCCACTCACTTGTGAAGAGGACCTCAATATACTTGTACTCCCTCACTTGAGGAGGGAGCAGGAATTATCATACAACTTCATGGGGAAAAGCCTAATTTTTCTGGTTGAGAACCATGGCGTCTGACTTGGAGTAGCTGATTTTTATCCCAGTTCGTTCAGCCACAAATAACCACAGTACATGCTCAAAGTCTAGGCAGGAGGGAGCCTGCAGAACCAAGGTATCTACAAAAAAACACGGACAAAATATGCTGATGAAGATTCTCAGTCATCCATTTGACATTTGAATTGGGAAAGCTTCCTGGAGGGGAAGCCAAACGTCTTCAAACCTTGGAAACCAAGTCCAGTGGATTGTTTTTAAACTTTTACGGAATCACGGACAAAATAGGCTTGTCTCCAAACCAGACCACTCCAGTCCTTGGCTTCACCTAGAAATCCTGCCTATAAAGGTTATGAACAGGACTGGTAACAGATGGGATCCTTGCCGAAATCCAACATGCACAGGGAAAAGGTCTGACTTCATGCTGGAAATGCATACCAAACTCTTGCTCTGCTTGTACTGAGACCGGATGGACCCTAGTAAATAACCATCGACAACTTGTTTCTGGGGTGCAACTCACAGTCAGAATCAGAATCAGATCAGAATCAGAAATTCTGATCAAATGGAAATTCAGTCAAATGGAATTGGCCTTTTTTGGGTTGGCTGAGAAGTGTGCACCCCCCTATAGTTAGAAAACACCCTCTGGTCCCCCTTCTTATGGAGGGGTAACACAACCTATCCCTGCCAGTCCAGGGTTACTGTCTCCGACCTCCACATGATGTTGAAGAGGCATGTCAGCCATGACAGCATCCTTAGGCCTAAGGTACTCATGGTTGGTCTCACCCACTCCTGACTCCTTGCCAAAATTGAGTTTTTTTGACTACCTCAGTGACCTCAGCCTATGCGTTTAACCCATTTCTTTTTCCTCCATGGAAAGCGTGTCAGCCGGGTTGAGGAGATCATCAAAGTATTAATTCACCATCCAACGATATCTTCATCCAGGGTTAGCAAAGCACTGGTTCCCCTTCCATAGGCACTCATCGGTTTTCCAGAATCTCTTTGAGGCCCAATGACAGTCTTTATCCATAGTCTTTACAAACCAAGGACCAAAGTTTAAAATGACAGAAGTACTCTTTTAAGAAACCATAGCGATATTTGATTCTATAGATAGGCATGGACCCCCACAAAAAGAGAAATAGTTTTAATAGAATAAAGATGGACATTTCTTTTTGTGTCTAAAGACATCTTTCTTCTACTTCAATTCATCTCCTTATCTCCTCCCCCTATTTTCTACCCTGAAATCTTTTATTTTAATAAGCATCTCTTCTTTTCAAGGATAATAGCCAAATGTTCCCAGCTTTGACAAGTTCAGTAAGCATCATGCTAAACACTAATGAGTGAATTGTTTAAGACTGGTGTGACTAATCAGGCATTCTTTCCCTTCAGACCTTTACCAGAGTACGGCGATATGGACCCCTCCTGTGGTCTCACAGATACCAGAGTCTGTAAGTGTAAATATATCACATGCTAATATGAGCACATTACTACTGGAATAAATTATAAAGGATATTTGTTTTTTGATTTCTTGCTAAAGCTCCTCCTAACTCCTTACACGTGAGCCCAACTGGAGGAGGAGGTGGGGTGTCTTCGTCTCACCGCAAACGCCGCACACTGGTGGCCCCTGAGATGAACCTGTCCTTGGATCAAAGTGAGGGCTCTCTGCTATCAGATGATTTCCTAGACACCCCAGATGACTTGGATATCAATGTGGATGACATTGATACACCAGATGAAACAGACTCACTGGAATTCATAACCAATGGGAATGATTTGGAGTGGGAAGGTAAGTAGTACATTCCCATATGTACGGTTTTAATTTATAGAATAGGTTTTCCTATGGAAGAGAACTTTATAATACCACCTCCTGCTGTTTATCTAATCAAAGAAAAAAATTCACATTTTCAGTTATTTTCTCTATCCAAAACTGTTCATCTGTTGTTTTAACATCATCATGTTAAAACAAGAGGCTATAAGTCTACATCTATAGAGCAATGCTAATAAGAGAAGAAAAAAAAGTGAAAAGTGCTGAGAACTTAATCAACACATTTGAGTGTTAGCTTTTCTATACAGACACATACACCCTCAATTATATCAACAATTTATTAAGGAAATCTTCCCTCTTAAAAATGACCTTCCTCGTGCACCTCTTGTGACATCACATAAGGCACTCTTTTAAGTGTGATTGTGTGTTTTTTTGTTGGCTTATTTACAATTCCTTTGCACAATTTTAAGTTATGAAATCTGTTTTTGGAGTGCTTTTATGGTATATTTTGCACTGCTGTGATCAAAGGTTTGTGAGTTTACAACAAGTGTTTCAGAATAACATTTGATTCCTGCTCCTCTGTTTCATGTATAAGACTCTTAGTGATCATTGAAGATTTTGAAAACCATGGACCTGGTCAAAACATTTTATAAAGTTAATTTTTAAGTTCCAGTGCTATTTTCCCTAGATCTTTTCTTTTATATTCTTCTTGCACCAACAATTATCACCAGTTTGCTCCCTCTAACCTGCAGTATTATACTGTATTGTCATGATTCTGGGTGAAAAGGAAGCAAAAGCAATAAAATTAATCCTATTAATTTGTGGTCAACATAAAAGTTATTCAGGTAAACTAGAATATTCTAGTTTGCCTGAACAATCTCAGGTTTTTTCTTCAGCCAGCGCAGTTCATGGAAACCCTTGTAGAATCAAAAACCCAGACCTGTCTCCTGTACAGATGACACGCCTGTGGCTTCCGCCAAGGCAGGTCCAGGTGGCGGCCATGGCGCACCAGCTGAGGATGGAAATGCAAACAATGGCCGACTGTGGAGAACGGTGATTATCGGGGAGCAGGAGCACCGTATCGACATGCAAATCATCAAACCATACCTCCGGGTCATCACACACGGAGGTAGGTGTCAGCCGGAGAAATTTTGAGCCTTGATTTAAAGATGTTTTCAGAATAAAACTTCCTGATGTCTCTCATCAGGTTATTATGGTGAAGGCCTAAACGCCATCATTGTCTTCTCTGCTTGTTACCTGCCTGACAGTAACTGTCCAGACTACCACTACATCATGGAAAACCTTTTTCTGTATGTCTATTGGTTAGACCGCATTTTTTCACATCGTACAATTATAAATGTGAAATAAATCCTCACCTCTTTGACCTGCAGATATGTGGTCAGCAGCCTTGAGATGCTGGTGGCTGAAGATTACCTGATCATTTACATGAATGGAGCCACTCCACGAAATAAGATGCCTGGAATCAGTTGGCTGAAAAAATGTTACCAAATGATTGATAGAAGGTAAACAAATACGGATGATTAAAAAAACATCCAGTGTGGACTCAGTTTGTAATGATTTTACAGAAAGTTGGATTAGGGATAGTCTGCGATGTAAAAACACTGAACATTTTTCCTCAAGGTCAGACAGCTATGTGTGACACTGATTCTGACACATATGACAGGGAGAGTAATAGAAGCTTTCACATGTTGTCCGGCAGTAGACTGAAAATGACTCAGCTCTGTTTATAGCACAAGATGATTGGATAAACCTGGTTTGGTGTTAGGTGTCTTCTATGTCCACTAAATACAGCAAAAAAAAAAGATCATTGGAATGAAACAACATTTATTTTATTGTGTTCGGTTGTTTTATTTGTTTTTTTTGTGGCAGATTAAGGAAGAATCTCAAGTCACTGATCATCGCTCATCCTACATGGTTTATCCGCACTGTTCTAGCGATATCCAGGCCTTTCATCAGGTAACAGCAATAGGCCAATCCATGAACACCTGCATCCTGAATAAGCACAAGATTTAAAGCTATAGAAATCATTGTTTTACTTTTTTAAAGTGATTACCTATGTAGATTTGTAAAAATATCGAGTATTTTAAAAATTATCTTTTTCATCACTCAGTGGCCAAGATTTTATTAAAATGAAAAGTAATACATTTTTATTGACTTTATTCAACCTTACCTGTTCAATAATTTTCATGTAGGTCTTGAGGATTTTAAAATATTCCTCCAGTTCACCAAGAAGGTTATTCAGCTGGCAACTGCTTCTTCCAGCAGTATTAGAAAGTCAGAGATGTTGCTATGGTACCACTCAAAAACAAAAGGATAGCCTCATTTTACCTTTTATTTCCCTAGCTATATGTATAATTGCTATTGTAAGTAATCCATATTGTCATCCAGGATAAAATCATAAGGACCAAAACAACAGCAATGTTTTCAGTTTAAGTTTACATCTTTAGTACATTATCATTAACTTAAGATTCAGCAAATCCTGCAGCGCCACACATCCAGCAAAACTGCGGTGCACCACAGTGTAAGTTTTATTTTCCAACCAGCGTGTCACCGCATGTTGAGTTATCAGGTAACTCTTAAGATGGTAATTCTTCCTGTGGTGCACCTCATGCTGTATTTAATAACTATGTTAACATCCTTTGGATGTTTGACTCATAGTGTTGGAAGGTGTTGCATAAAGGCTGTTCTGGGCAAGCCTTTTCTGTTTAGCACACTATTTATTTCAAAAATAGAAGAAAAAAAAAGTTTATAAACATTTAAACTTTCTTTTTAATCAGCTCAGCTTAGAATTACTTACTTCAGGTTTCACCAGTCTAGCTTTTTTAAACTTGGCACTGTAACTGATCTAACGCAGTGTAGATTTAACTTAGTGTTAATCAGGATCCTGAATCAAATAATTAAATAATTGATCATTTCTTTATTTTGGTGAAGTGTAGAGTTATGTTTTTTACAGTGGTTAGACTTATTTTATGCCTTCCCCTTAAACAATGGCACCATGCTGATACTCATGCTGGGGATGAGCCTTATCTGTGCGCTACTGCTTTATTCTCTCTTGAGTGTATTAAACAAATAGGTGGGATGTAGCATAATAATAGTAATTAATTCTATAAATGAACTTTATTGGTCTCACAATGGAGAAATTTGTCTCTGCATTTATCCCATCCCCTTGGGGAGCTGTGGGCTTCCATCGTGGGATGCCCAGGGAGCAGTGTGGGGTTAAGGTCTTTGCTCAGAGACCATGATTTGCAGAGTGGGGCTCAAACTCAGTAACTAAGGATTCCAAGCTCTATACCCTAACCACTAGGCTGCACACAGAAATTAAGGATGTTACATGAGTTAGGTTTAAACATTAAGTGGTCTACAAATACACAATGACTTCAATGTTGGTGTTGAAACTTAATTAAATCTTAATTCTGGTTCCTCATTCATCTCAGGTGAAAATAAACTAAATTAAACCCACCTGTCTTTAGGTTAAAGAGATCCAATGCAAACATATAAATGACAAGATGTATCATACCACTATTTGCTGTAACTCTTCATGTTTCTGTGTTTCTCTCTGCAGTGTCAAGTTCATGAATAAGATTCAGTACGTCCACAGTTTGGATGAACTTGCAGAGATTGTCCCCATGGAGCACGTCCATGTTCCTGAGTGTGTGATGCAGTAAGTACGTGTGGCCTCTAGATAGAGCTGCAGGAGAAAGGCAACACTTATTCCAGCAGTAAAATTATGATGCATGTAAATTTCACCAAAAAAAAAAACCCAGCCTACTCTGATCTGTTTTCAGTATAAGGTTTGATCGGCTTACACTTTTATTTCTGTAACAAAGCTGAACAGTGTTTTTCTTCTTTTAGATATGATGAAGAACGAATTAAAGCCAGGAAGGAGAGGTGAAACACTGATTTATTTGATATTGATTAGATTGTAACCATCATGCATATCTGTCTAACTTAATAGCATTGTACCTGTAGATTTACTTAATTTAATTGCTGCTAACAGATCTCTGAATTTTCTTGGAAATAAGAAAAACTAGAAAAGCTTTTGTGTGTGTGTGTGGGTGGGTGTGCAGGATGGAGCAGGAGAGACGACAGCATGAACAGCAGTCAGTCCCACAGGGGCCAAATCAGAAATCTGCGAGGTAAGTTATAAGGCCCATATAGGCTACTGAATCTTGGCATATTTCACAATGTTGAACTGCAGGTGGCTCGGGTGCATTTAGAAGTTCTAATGGTATCTTTATTTTCCAGGCCGAAATCGATGATTGTGGAGCAATAACTATGAGAAGGAAACAACAATGAAGGGAAGGTAAAATAAACCCCAGTTGTGGATGTTTTTTACTATTTTAGCCACAAGATGGCTCTGTTCTATAATAGTTTGAGTGAAATTGCAATTGGTTTTATCTACCAATTACATCTTTGCTCCATTATCTAAATCAAGCCTGCAGATTACACATTTCAGTTTTGCATTTACAAAACCTTATAGTATTCATATCTTATAGACTTTGTATATTTTATCATGGAAAATAATTTGTTTAATATTAAAAATGTATATGGAAAATTAGATCTTCATAAAATTGCACATAACCAAGAACACACCTTCCCCACAGTAATAGATGGTAGTGACATGATCATACTGTAGGAATAGGTTTCAGTAAGGATAGAAAAGCTAGTTAGCGTTATGCATGGATGTAGCTTAAAAAACGGGGGAGGGAAATCTGTTAGAGGCTGCAAAAGACTTATAATTAAGTAGAGGCTCATCTTCCAAAAAGAGTTATTTACCAGAGCTCTAATGGAATTGTTTAGGCTAGTGCAAAGAATATAACTGTGTTATGATTGATTCAAAGTTTAGAACCCAAATTAAGTTGAGTATTGGTGCCAAAACCTTAAAACTGGCATCCATGAATGTTTGTCATTCACTGTAACTGAGCTTGATCTGTTACTGTAAAGGACAGGGTATCTTTCAAGAGCTGGCAAACCATTTCAGATGTGCAAAGCTGATGGAGACCAACTCCTGCAGTAAAATATGGTTCTTCAAAGTGGTAACCTTAAAGGGTGAATGAAAATTATATGATAAAATTACTCACCTTATAAGATGTTAGTACCGGTAAAATACATTGAAGATTGTGAGAAATAATCACAGAAAGTAAAAATTTTATTTGATATCAGTGGGCTACTTATTTTCAATGATAAACATTTTAGCTCATCACATAAAAAAAGTATAATTTGTTCTTTGGAAAAGTCTCATTAGTTTCTTTAAGTTTTTTAGAATAATTAGATGATGAATTATTAGATACTGTATACTCTAGCACAACTGGACACATCTGTTGTACATAACAGGAATTATCCAGTTTGGGTGTTGGAATGTTTTCTTTATTCTATAAAAATCTTTCTAGCATCTTGCGCTGCAGTTCTCCTTTAACAAATTTTCAAGATCCGGAGGGTAGATTTTGTCAAAACTAATTCTTTCATCTTTAGTGAAAAGGAGCTTTTTTCAGGGGTGTTTAGGTTCTTTTTTTAACTTGTTATGTGATGCATAATAATATTTCAGTTTGCTTAAAACTGACTTTATTATAGTCCATTCAGTGCTTTATTATTATGGAACTATAACAGACATCAACAGCTTTCTGCGCTTTTCAGCTGTTTCAAACCAGTAACCTGAGAGACATACTGTAAACAAAGATTTAACACTCAAAATATCTCTACAGTCATAAACAAGGTTAATGGGAGGAATAAGATCTACTATAATGAGCTAAACAAGAGGGAAATAAAGATTTAAGCATGCATAGCTCTTCACTGAACTGTCTTAACCAATAAGAAAACTCTAGAATTGTTTTAAAGCTTCAGCTAAATGCAGTTTACCCAAATCAGTGAGATCTGATGCCCAGAACACAGTCAGCAGAGAGCCACTATTCTCCTAAACGCAGTCATACCCTGAGCTATTATATTGCATTGTTTACCAGTTTCTTTAAATGCTGTGGTGCTTTGGGAATGAATGGCCACCCCCACAAATCCACATACCTCAGCACTGCAGGAAACATACAAAAACCCGGGCACTCCCATTGTTACCACCATCACAGCATATTGTTAGAGAGGCTGCACAGGCTGCAGTAAAAGAAGATCCTATATGTTATAGAGAACAAAAATCCACAAATGAACTTTAACTTCGTAGAAAGACATATGTTAACATGAGGATTTCATACCATCCCTCCAACTGAATCATTCATCCATATTATTTCCAATGTATACAGTCAAATTTTCTTACTGCAAGCGCTGCATAAAGCTTGCTACAAAAGCTTGCTACAAAAGCTTGTCTTGTAAGATATTTTTCTTGAAAGAAAATATGTAGAGTATCAAAGTATGTTGATAATTAAGATATATATTAATTGACTCATTAATGTTTTTGTATTGTATAACATAAGCATTAATTAGTCAATTAAAGCTTATGTAATGCAAAATAAGCAAATGTCTGGAAAAATCTGTTTTACTTCCCTGCATTTGTCTTTGTGTATGCAGGGGGTGACATAGAGGCATCCAGCACGTGAACACTTTCTCCCCTCTTTTGTCCACATCCAGCTGCTAGTTCATATTGCTTCGCAGTTAAAAAGGGGACTGCTCTGTCACATAACACTCACGCCATCAGCAATGGAATGGTCTCCCAACAGGAAAAGGCTGCTCTGTTGAAGGAATTGTTTTTTTTAATAGAAGTCGACATCACCTGTTGTAGGATCGGATATGTGGTTCATATTAAATTGTTGCACCATGATTAGGGATTTGATTCATTGCTTTACTTTTCCCAGTCATGTAACATCTGGTCTTACATGACTGGGAGACCAAGGTTACAATCATGGCTGATTTAATGTCACAGAATTAATCATAGTAGTTGAAAATGTTATTTTTTATCATAGCTTAAAATGAAAAGTGGTTCGATGGCTTGTGTTGTAAAATATGAGTCTCTGAGATGCAGCGAGTTTCCTGTGCGGGCACCACTAAATCAAACTCCTTGCACAAAAGCACATACTGCTTTTAAGGAAATTGTTGGCTCAGATGCTGATATAGCAAAGTAAAAAATATGCCTTCATCTCTCTTTCATCTTACCTCATAGCTGCTTTAACTCTAAGGCCTTTCCGAGCTCAGTCTTAATCTTTCTGACATTTAAAAAAAAAGTCCAAATAGACTAACCTTAATTTATGTAAGTCTCCTCTCTTTCTGGCCTCAGTTGCTATGTGAATTACTATCTGTACTTTATTGTGTATTATGATGTGCCTGCGTTATACTCATAATAAACTACATGTTTGCATTTTTCTGATCTAGAAAAATCACATAGGAAGACTTATCTATATAACAAATGCATTGTAGATATTTGTTTTATGGGCAAACTTCAGACAAATCTTAGGTGAAATGTTTATATTACTACATACCAGATGCATGTTTTTCATAGAAATAATAGTACTAACCCTGTACAGTTAGAAATTTCACTTGGAACAAGACATGTGAATTGAAATAGATAACTACCCTGAAGCCTTTTGTTTTTTTAAATCCTTTTTCATTCATTTTGTGCTTTGATAGAAAGTGAAGTCTAGGAGTCTCTGATGAGACAAGTACGGAATTGTGGGTTTTTACACCTTAGCACATGTCACAATAAAAAAGAAAAGGGATATATATGTCCAAACATTACAGCAAAGTTTGTGTTAAATAAAAAAAAAAAATCATGTTATGCTGTGGCATTTAGAGCTCTTTCAGTGTCATAAAAAAATCCTGAATCAAGTTTTCTACAAAATAACCCTTACCCCTTCTGTAGCAAACCTTCTTCTTTACACAGTGCAGTCACACAAGGACTGTTTTCCCGAAAAAAACATGTCCATTGTATTTTCAGACTGAAATGCCGCTCCTTATCTGAAATTCTAATAAAGTTTTGGCATGTTTCAGCATCTGTTAACCCTGCTCTGTAAGTTGACATGGCCTGTCACGTCCCAGCTGTTGCCCCTGCTGTTTCACTTTATCATAATACCATTAACAGTTGTTAGTAGCGAGGAAATAGCACAATGTAATTAAAGGAACTCCTGGGAATGACCCATTGCTTTGCAAATGTTTTAAACAGCAATTTTCAGTGTTTGCTGCTGAATTTTACACACCTATGGCCCTGCTAGCAACTGTACCATATAATTGCAATGGTTTGGAGGGGAAAACATTTGTTTCAATGCTGCTTATCCCTATTTAATCTTAGATAGGATTTATGCAGCTTGAATTTTGTAAATTTTTTTAACTACCTTAAATATTAGTTAAGAGGTGATTAAAATCAGTTTTTTAAGTTTTCTATATTTTAAGATTCTTAAAAAGAGGGGATATAGAAACCACAGGCCTGTTAACATGTATTTCTGATGTTGATTTGCACTACTGGATATGGATCGTCACAAAAAATAAAACTTATTTAAGTAGTGTTTATATATTAGGTTTCTACACTGCAGTAGGGAGAGAAAACTGTTTGAAATTTTTAATTTAAGTTCTGCTCATTTGAAGTAGGGTATTCTGAATAAAAGGTTCTGTCATTCTTTTTTTTGAGTGCCATTTTTTTTTTTTACATTGTTTCTAAAGAGGCTGGTTTAATGAGTGAACTGAGTGCCTATTGCTAAACTTAAATGCAATTTAAACCAATGTCAGAATGTAGAGTGAAGTGTTTTGATTTATAGCAAATTTATTTTATTTATAATGTATCAATACAATCCTTCCAAAATATAAATGTTCACTGTAAAAGCACAACATAAACATGTATATAGTATCATTGTTGCTGTGAAATCTTTGTTCAGGCTATTATTATTCATAGTGCAAAGCTGGCTGTAAATATGACAAACAAATAAATTCCTCCCTCAAAAGTCTTGTGTCTACTATAAACTGTAGAGTGTTATGGAAACAATTACAACGATTTATGGGGGAAAAACAGTCTCAGCAAATGACTTTGGTAATATGTATTTTTCAAGCAATATGTATTTTGAACAAGCTAAAAGTTTAAAATCTTCTTCCATATGAACTGGTAAGCATATGATCTTTCACATTAACCTAGAAGTTAAAAATATACAGACATGTATCAAAAGTCCAGTACTAAGTTACAGAATTAGGTTTCTATCAAAGCAACTACCATTTTGCATATCACTCAACATTAGAGTACTACTTTGAAACAAAGCATATATATTATAGAAAATAAAGCAATCACCTGGCTTTATTTTGTTGTCCTAGTTCTCATTTGAACCATTGACATTTACCCTAATTTTTTTTACTTTCTTTTATCTCACTGTTGAACAAAAAAAGCTCTGTACGTGCCAGATACACATGTGAGATGAGAACTGGGAAATACAACATTAAGCCTGCATACTCATTAAATGATCCTAAACTTTTATTACCATTTCAGTATTTATTTTATTTTGATCAGTTTTAAGAAAATGTTAAAGCCCGAAATGAACACACACACATATATATATATATATATATATATATATATATATATATATATATATATATATATATATATATATATATATATATATAATTTAAATCAGTGCCAAATTCGTCTCGCTGACTGCCATTTACTGTAATGTGAGCTTAACTGTGGAACATCAGCAGACATCCCACCCGACATGACACAACTGTTATTAAAGTGCATCCATTCGACACCATCAATGGTAGTTTTCCACAGCTGTGGCTTCTGGAGGTGGATCAACTGCTGAATGGAAGAGTACGGACCGTGTGGGGAACATATCTAAATGGTTTGCAGTCTTCGCACTCCGATAGGCTGTCCTAGGGGCTTGTGTGGAATCTGATTGGCTGGCGAGAAGTGGCACGTAGCGCGAAGGAAAAATGTGAGCACGCTGTAGCACGAGAACACGGCGTCTCTACGTAGCCGTGACGCAATGCCAGTCAGGCTTGATATATACTGAAACGCTTCACCCACCCATCAGCGAGCGAAGAGAAGACTACAAGACCACACGTTTAAATGTTTTAAAACTTTACTTTTGTTGGAGTATCGCTTCAGACTTCAGTGTTCCTGAATTTTAATTTCAGTCGAAGTAAAGAGACTTTCGAGAGAAGGAGAAATAATGAAGTACATAATAGGAATTGGCGGGTAAGTGTGCTTAATGTTAAAAATAACGTGTTTGTGTGTAGCCACTACATATTGTCTATATTTCCCATGTAGAAAATGTAACGCTTAGTGTTATATTAAAATGAAAAAGATTATTTCAAAAAAGAAAGAACCCATAGTTGTTTACCGTTAAAAAAAACAACATATATTTGTTTATAGTTTATAAAAATAAATGGTTTGCATATTCAATTAGTCTCCTATCGAGGTTTTTATGACTTTTATGGTTTATATGTTCAGGATGTGCGAATGTTTTAATCAGCCGCCCGCCAGAAAGCCCTTTAAAGCAACTTCCGGTTTTATTTGTTGTCATGGATTGAGCGGGACTTTTGAAAAATCAGCGCGTGATTTGCTCCAAAAGTGGAGGGAGATTTATCAATTTCATCTGCAGTCTCCATATTATGACTCTGTCTTGATTATTAAACATTTTTATATACACTCTGGAGACCTAACTTGCGGTTGTGATTGCTTTGTTTATATTTTCTAGATATTTAATTTTTCTTTACAGAGCTTTATCCTATTTTTCTCTGACACCCTCCTGCTGATTATTCTGTCAGAGGTTTTAACACACAGCAAAGGTGTTTAAACAATAAATTAAACATTTTAAAAAAAGATTTTTAATTTTCTTTCTTTTTTTACAGAGTCACCAATGGTGGTAAAACCACTCTGACTAATAAACTGATTCAGACTTTGCCCAACTGCTGTGTTGTGCACCAAGATGACTTCTTCAAGGTGAGTCTCACTGAACAGATTAAGATATAACAATAGTTTGGTGTGTCTTTTTTCAATCATTAGTACTGCCTGAGCTTTGTATGCGAGTGAAGAAGGTCTTTCCTTTTCTAGCATCCTGTTCTTTTTCTTGATTTCTATGCAACTCTATCCCTGTTTAGCATATTTATGTCTTCCCCTTGCTATATTTGCATACTAGCCCTTGCTTGTTTTATTGCATGCTATTTGCTGTGGTTCTTCTTCTGCCATTTTTTCCCCCCCTCACTCGTTTGGCCTAACATTTGTGGCATGTGAGTGAGATCTGCAAGTGTTCAGAGCTGTGAGGTTGCAGCAATGTTTTATTGGTCACTGTTATTTCAGAAACCCGATCAAATAGAAGTCGGGGAGGACGGCTTTAGGCAGTGGGATGGTAAGACTTCACTGAAGACTGCCAGTGACTCATATTTGACTATAATGTAGATGACCCCATCCTCCTCAGTTCCATCAATTAGAGCTAAAACATGAATTTGCTGTTACTTCCAATCAGAAAACACATTCATAAATCATTACAGCTTTTGTTTGGGAGTTTTCTGACCTTCTCCTCCCCCCCTCTCCCATTATTTCCCTTCTTTCTGTCTCTTGCTCCACAGTGATCACAGCTATGGACATGGAGGCCATGACCAACACGATAAAAGCCTGGATTGAGAACCCAGCAAAGTTTGCCCGTTCTCACGGTGTACCCCTGGCTCCTGTTCAAGATGTGGCCAACCCTGATGAGCAGATCCACATCCTGATAGTTGAAGGCTTTCTGCTGTATAACTACCCGTAAGTTGATTGTTGCTTTGTGTATTAGTTTGAATCCAGCTATGGATGAAAAGTGTTTTCTTAGCATGTGTGCGGCAGCCAACTTGTAGGGGTGAAAGCCAGCGATTGGGCAATCTTTGTTCTCAGGAACACAAATAATCAAGTAAAGGCAGACACGTGTGTTGGGCCATGTGCTGATTTTGCATGTTCACATTGGGCCATGTTTGTAGACCCCTGCATGCTTGTTGGATAGTTAGAGATAAGTACCTCTGCAGAGGGGTGGCTCTTTCAAAGTGGTCCTTTGCAGTGACACCAGAGTGAAAGGCACTCAATGTACTAGTGATGAATGTTTAATATGCTGCTGAGATGCAGATAAGCGAGAGCATGAACCGTTTTCTTACTGCTTTTTTTAGATGCAGTGTGTAATGTGAACGGTGTTCAAAATGTGTTCATCTTTCTTGTAGGCCCCTGCTGGATGTTTTCAGTAAGTGCTACTACATCTCAATCCCCTACGAGGAGTGCAAAAGAAGGAGAAGGTAAGCTACGTTTCTGCCATTACTAAGTTCTATATCAATATTAGTTACCACTTCCTCACTCCATGTTTCTTGATGATTTTCATTTTAGTACGAGGCAATACACGGTCCCTGATCCTCCTGGCCTGTTTGACGGCCACGTGTGGCCCATGTACCTGAAGCACAGAAAGCAGATGGAGGAAAGCGGTTTGAATATCGGTGCGATTTTTAAACCAAATCTCATTGAACTGTTAAACTAGTTTGTGATCTGAACTTTTTTTTGGAATTGAATGTTTAAATATGTTTGTTGCAGAATACCTGAATGGTTTGAATTCCAGAGAGGAAATCTACAACCAGGTGTATGAGGATATTCAGAACAACCTGCTCAATCGTTTATAGGTAAGGGGGTAGGATTTCATTGCTACTTTAATATTAAAAAGTCTTTTTCTACATTTTTTTCCAAATGTATTTTTTTTTTTTTTATGTTTTTTTTTTCTTTATTTTGCAGCAGGAGGATTCCACTTCACACCTGTACAGACTGTAAATAGTCAAGGATTTTTTTTTTTTTTATAAGGTGTAATTTTATTTTCTTGTATATAGAGATGAGCAGTTTTTAAATTATGTTTTTATCTCCTTCATGGACAACATGTTTTTCTTATTGAAATGTTTGCCGTTTGTTTTTGATATGTTGTTGACCACTATTGGTCTCCATGAGTGTCTGCTGTCAATAAATACATGAGTTGCTGTTAAAATACAGTTCATCAAAACATCTTTGGCTGGTTTCTGAGTAAAGTATGTCTAAGAAAGGACTCAAGTGGTTGGTGATGGTCTACCATGCAAGCTCGGTTTCCTGGTCTCATTTTGAAACTAATTTCTTTTAATCAAGCGAAAATTAGAAATTACTCCGACTTAACGGCCAATATGTGTCAGCTACATTTTCACAAAGGGCTAAATTTGTTTGGCATCTAAAGATTTGATCTGAAACAATTTAAAACAGAAATCTAATAAAACTGCTTTTGATTAAGTGGGAAAAGGTGCATACAGACACACTATAGTTATTATCATGTATACAAATAAAATAGAAATTTTCAGTTAATGGGATAGACCCTATATAAGGGCTACAATTATTGTGCTAGTATGGATTCGAAATGTATCCTGAAAAACTTGCACCATCATTTAATGGGTAATTTCATTTCCTAGATATCACAAGTTGTAGTCTAGGTGAAGTTTTTTTAAGGGCTATGACCCTTATGTCTATTTTTAGAAGCAGGAAGTACTCAAACTTGTACTGTACATCTGCCCTCGTGGGTGTTTCCAGATTTACAGCCCTGAAATAACTCCTCAGTCATCTCACGTAGATGCTAGAGTAGGTCACAGTGCCCATAAGATTTATGCAATTAGCACAAAAGCAAATGCAGCTTTGGTTCTCCAATCTCGTGCAGATAGAACATGTGTTCCTCTTCTGTGTGTATAAATGGATCAGAACAATTTCTATGTATAGGACTGTCAGGTTGGGGTTTAATTTACCGGTAAGCCTCCACCTCTTCATAGTAGGTGGAAGTTCACAGATTTGCTGTTAACGTTTTTCAGAATAGTATGATTTAGTTGATTCTCAGTCATCCAGGTCATAGTCCTTCCGAAAAAGGTAAAACAAAACATTGGACTTTGTTTTCCAAGTTTGAAGAAGTTTCACTTCCCATCCAGGCAGTAAAACTTATTTGGAATGGTATGATATAGTGGTTAAATATAAAATCTCAAATTGTCTTATAGTATCTTATGTTCTGCTCAACTTTGACTGCTGTGTGCAGCAGCATTCACTCTGACGTCACCTGTAGACGTATGTGATCTGTCATGTGGGTGTCATATGGATGTTGGTTAGCAAGGTGCTTATTGTAATACCCTTGCAGGGGCAGGCATGCAAAACCCATTTGGCCTAGACTCTCTATGCTAAAAGTAACAGCAGCATACTTAATCCCTGCAAGGACAAAATACAAATCGGTGTATATCAAATAATAGTGTTTTTTTTAGGTGTGCTCCACCATAGGGGATGAAATAATCCTGCACTCACATATTAGCCAGTGTCAAACATCTGCTAAGTAAGGAGTGCAGAAGTTCTCCTGCTTTATCATAGCAGATTACAGAAGCCCTATCACTGTCTACGCAAGAGTGAACCACAACTCCAAGGACAGCAATTTCTGCTTTTATGTTGGTACTCAGTGTCCTCAATTACACATGCAGAACACTGTTGTGCTGTTTCCTGTTTTTGTGGGCGCCACATGCCTTTTTTGGAACAGAGTACCACATGAGGCGGTTTATACGGCACTATATCACAGTGGAAAAAATGTGCAGAACGTGCTGTATGCTCAGCGAGGAACACTGGATGTCCGACCGTTTTCTTTCTTCCAAAAAGGGTTTTAAACTTTTTGATTTAAGAGCAATGTAATGTAGATTCAGATTAGCATGTGGATTATTTACAAACTGTTAATTATTGTGTAATAAGGGAAATGTAAATGAATATCAGTCCTAACAGCCTGAACTGGACCTCGTTAATGTCTCATGGCTTGCACACAGGCACAATTCTTTCCTTCTTTTTTTCCCACTGGCTCAGAGAATCATAGCCAGAATATATATAAAGCAGGGCTGGTTAGAATGAAGAAAGTCTGCCTTCACTTCTCTAATTGCAGGGCGTGCTCTCTGTGTTTTTCTTTTTTTTCTTTTTCTGCTGTTCTCTCTGGGTGTAAGCTACCTGTCTCTCTGCACGTCCCAGCAGCCGGCGTGACTGAGGACAGAATGAAACAAAACAAAGGCAAAGGGGAATCAGGCTCACGTTCATTAAAGCAACATCACCAGGAACTGGCAGCAGTAAAATCTGGTAGTTTGAACCTTTTTCCTCTCATGCATAGGAGCCCCTACGTCATATAACTGTATCTGTAGCAGTAATAAGGGAATAGACTGCTGTCTTTACATTTTTTTTAACACAAAACATTTGGCGTTATGTATAATAGGTTGAAAACTTTATTTGTTTTTTGTTTTTTAATCTATACCAGAGCTGTTCTTATGAAAAAATTGTGCAACTATCCTATTCGGTTCCTTTAAATTATTGCTCCATGCTGCTTCCGTAAATATCAATGACCCAGAGTTTGTGCAACCCGTATGTTCATCTTGGACACAGAAAATTATAATGATGTTTATCAAAGTTAAAGAAATCTTTAAAATCCACATGCTAGTGTTTAGGTTAGTACAAGAAGTAATTATTTTAAATAGTTATATTAGAGGTAACCTTTGGGAAGTCAGTTAATAAACTTATAATACACAGGTTTTTTATTATTTGGCGATATTTATATTGAGAAGAGGTTTTCTTATAAGTTATTAAATTATTAATCCTAGTTTATCTAAAGTCATGTTTACCATATTAGGACCTTACAAAACTTTTTTTAAATCGTGTGAAATGTAAACGAACCATTTACTTAAACTATGAAGGCACACGCTTTATTAAAACTTAGTGTGGTGAATTTTTCTGCTCAGCAATCAGTGTGTTTTTGTTGTATTTGTGTTGTGTTGAATTGCATCCTGATATCAAATCCTTTTTGTTTTATGCTGCACACACTTTCTGGAGAAAAAAACATTCAAAGTGTGTCCAACAGGATTGATTAAGTTACTCAGCACAGTTGTTAAATGCTAAAAATGTTTTTGTTTTTGTTCTAGCGTTCTACAGACAGGAAGTGTACACATGTAAAGTCTGTAATGTAAACAGTATGACATATGGGGAGAACTTGTTTGGAGTGTCTCTTGCTTAATAGTCCATGATGTCAGCTCGGAGCTTTAAATAATCCTGACCTTAAAGTAGCCACTACCTGATGAGAGACCTAATTATACCATATCATACCCTTTATTTATAAAGCACCTTTAACGTAAGGGCTGTACATACTATTGAAAGAGTAAAATTAAAATAGCCAAGCCAAAAAACAGACAATAGCTTACAAGCTGTTGAAATGGATCAATTTACAAGTAATTAAAATAATTAAAAAGCACTTAGATAAAAAATGAAATAAAATGTAAAATTATGTAATAAATGGAGGATAATTCCTTTGAAATGCTGAAGAGAACTATTTGCACCCTATCTCTGTCTTCCAAACTGAAAAAAACAAAACAAAACAAAAACTCAACCTGCATTGCAGAGCAACTTTCAGCCTTTTCGTGTGTCTGCAGCGCCACCTTCTGGTGAAAATGGAAACTTGAACTGAAATCAATGGACACAATTGATTTCTAATGGGAAAATTAAAAAAAATTATTTAAAAAATCCTTCCAAGTAGGAAAACATTGCAGATTTGGGCTACAATGGTTAAACTGTTTTTCTATAAACGAACTTTATTTTAATGATTATAACCTTTTTATGATGTTTTCACACAACTGGATTGCCCCGACCTTCTAGAACAGGGGTCTACAACTATTAAAATCCAAAGACCCTTTTTGCTCTGAGTTTGGTTTAGTTAGTTGCATTGAGCCGCAAATATTACACCCACCTTTTAATAAAATAAAACCCTTTATGTTAAATATCTGCCATAGGAAATCGTTTGCTATTTTAACCAACTATTACTTTATTTGTACAATGTTTCATAAAGATGAAGCATGGATATTCCTGTTATGTAAAGTTAGAAAATAACAACATAACACATTATTTTCAAGCTGACAAGAAAAAACAGATCTAAAAAAAAAACATGTTTTGATGTCATTCTGTTGTGAAAATTCAATTTAGATATTCTTTAAAAAAAATCTCATAAAAGCTTTTAAGATTGGTATTTGTAGTCATACTACAATTGTGTGTTCTTTCTATCATTTTTAGCCACTGAGACCCTGAGGGACCAAAGAGCCACTTGTGGCTCTGGAGCAGGCACGTGCAGAGGGGGGGGGCTAAGGGGGCTTGAGCACCTGCCCCTTTTGCTCCATGATCCCAATGTGCCCTTTTGGTCCCTTTTTTTTTTTTTTATTTGACACATGTACTGCAGTTATTATTATTATCTTTTTTTTGGCAAGAAAAACAATACAATAAGCCCTCCGGTCACATTGNGCTCTGGAGCTGCAGGTTGCACACCCCTGTTCTGGACTTACACAAGATTGCAAATCCTTTAGATTTGGAGGAACATGAAACTTACCAAATGTTTTTACAACTAAACAAAATCTGAAAAAAGCATAAGTCTACTGCAAATTTAAATTCTCGTCTTTAAAACTTGCTTTTTCAGTTAATCTAAATCATTCAATTGTAGTTATTCTAGCTGCAGGTTTAAGTTTGTTGTTTTGTTCAAATCTGACATCATCACAGTCTAAAGTCTTTTGTAATCTCTAATTTTTATATTTTTAATCTTCCAATCAACTGGCTCCAACTCTGTCTCTCTACCGGCAATAATTATTCCGACAGTATGATGCTACCTACCTTGTTTTGATAGCATATTAATATAGTCCTTTTACTAACCACATTACTTTTAGCCTGCATTTGCATCCTTGATTCTAATTAAGCCTTGTATCATTAGCGCACATTCAATTTTGCCATTGTTACATAAAAAAAAGCAATTAAATGAAAGTATCTGTGCAAATATATTTAATCATGCAAATTCCACTTGGGGTTAATTTTATGTCACATTATCGCAGAAGAAGCAGAAATAAAACAGAATATTTTTAACGCCCTCATGGGTGAGACCTTCCTAAGCCCTACCCTCCTGCTAGGGATGCTGTGCGTCATGAGGTCCAGTGAGTATGAAACCTCTCCACCCAGTCTAACTTAAATATTCTCACACAGTCTCAGTTTTAGGAGCTTCCTATAGTTCTCTAAGCCATGGAGAAGTTCTGGTTTCTTTTAATTTGCCTTACTGACGTGCTTGTGCGTTTAAGTATCGGTCAGCACCTTTTACGCGCGCCTGCCGGACCCTGGAGACAGCGCATTGAGTGGGAGAATAACGGTCAGGTATACAGCTTGTTGAGCACCGGGACTCAGTATCGCCTGCCTTCTCAGAGCAGAAAACGCACCCAGCTCTTACTGACAACAAAAAACAGTTTAAACCAAGTTAACCCTCCTGTTGCTCTCATCAGATCCACCAGAACCAGGTCTCTGAGCCCCCAGGAGACACCCAGGGATCATTCTGAGCAAAATGACCAAATGGACCAGTCGTTTCATGGAGCAGATGTAGGTCAGTATCTGCTGGCGGCGGATCGTTCCAGCGCACAGAGTCAGGCCCATGTGGCTTCAGATTATCGCTCACACCGGGTCCGGAACAACAGCAGCGCCGCTGTTTTAATACAAGAGTTTTCTGGCAGCGGAATCCCAAGAGGAGGCAGAGGTGCTGAAGACAGCGGCGCGCAACGGGCCACCGCGCCACCTGCAAGAGCGCAGGATTTTACGCACAGACAGCTCCATAGAACCGCCCCTGGAAACTCGGACTCGGTTCAGAGATCTCTTTTAGTCACCCTGGGTAACAATGGTCGAGTCACATCGCAGACCAGACCGCAGTCCCTGATTAGAGCCACTGCAGAGGCTGATGATTCCAGCAATTCAGTTGAGATTCCGGATACAACAGGTGCAAACGACCCACGGGATCCACACAGCATCCACCACAGGAACTCGGTTTTCTACAATGTTTACCCAGCGGACCGCAGGAACAGGCAGAACACGGGAACTGGCCATGGCACCAGGTTCTTCCACAACGGTGAGGCAACAGCACACTGGATTAGGGCCTCTTCCAGTAGCCCTCTATGGAAGCAAATCGTTACCATATTTCAAATGGAAAAGCATTTTCAGAAATGCTTTTTAATTTTAAGAATGTGGCTGCATTGTTTGACTCATAAATTAAATTAGTAATCAATAATCCTGTTCGCATTTTCATTTTCTTCTTTAACACTGCTCATCCTTAAAATAAAAAAGTAAAAGACATTTGTCTTTTTCTCAAATGTCTTTTTCTTTTTCATTTTAATTAAGTAAAAGGATGAGCAGTCTTGAAGAAGAAAATTAAAATGTAAATAGGATGATTGATTAGGCTACTAATTTTATTTATGAGTCAAGTAATGCAGCCACATTTTTAAAATTAAAAAGCAATTCTGGAAACGCTTTTTCATTTTCAAATTTTACATTTCAAATTGAATTTTGGTATGTATTTGCTGGAGTACATTTTGAAAAATAAATTTTCTTTTTCATTTTAATTAAGTAGAAGGATGAGCAGTTGAAGAAGAAAATGAAAATGCAAACAGGATTATTGATTACTAATTTCATTTATGAGTCAAACAATTTAGCAACATTCTTAAAAAGAAAAAGCATTTCTCAAAACGCTTTTTCATTTGAAATATGTTAACAATTTGCTTCCATAGGCTCCCACCAGGAGGCACATTTAATAATCCATTTTTATTTACAAAGTTTAGAATTGTATGCATCAAACAACAAACATTATTTTAACCTTTTAATAGATAATGAGAGCTGCTTGAACTAATTTCTTTTCATATAACATTTTTATAATGTCTGTACTTTACATTTCTGACTGTTTAAAAAGTTGAAATAAGAATATTTCTGTTATACAAATTAAGTTTGTAACCAAATTTACATACCCCAAGTTTTCTATTATCGGTAAACCAGTATAAAAGTATGAGAGTGTTGGTAACTATAAATGGGTAAATGCTTGTAGCTGTAGAGTAAAGGTTTTTTGGGTGTTCAGTATTGGTTCCGTCCTATTTGCATCTGTAAGATGGACTAAACAACACATTATCCAGAATTTCCTATTTAATTTCAAAGTAACACTTGTTTTTATTATTGGCAGGTCTCCCAGACCTAATCCCTGACCCATACTACATCCAAGCAGCCTCGTATATCCAGAGAGTACAGATGTATGCACTCCGCTGTGCTGCTGAGGAGAACTGCCTTTCCAGGTACTTTTGTGCTTACCTTCTTTAATGTGCATGCCGTTTTATTTTTATTTTTACAGCCACAAACATTTGTTTTTTATTAGATTGTATTTTTCAATTCTATTCAATTCAGGTTATTTATAAAGGGCCAATTCACAACACAGGTCATTTCAAGGTACTTTACTGAGACAATTCAACCAGATCATATAGTCAGATTGGTTCAAGTTTTCTATCTAAGGAAAAACAGCTGATCGCATCTACTCATTGACTCGAAGGCAATCCCTCAAACCAAGGATGCTTTTGACGTTAGTGGAGAGGAAAACTCCCTTTTAACAGGAACAAACCTCCAGCAGAAGCAGACTCAATGTGAGCGGCCATCTGCAGAGGCCGACTGGGTTCAAGGTGACAGAAACAGACATAAAGGCTACTGTCGACCAGCTCCACAGGTGGCAGAGTCCAGGAAACACACAGCCTGACAGGCGAGCTTCGAGCAGGTCTTCCATGTCAGAGGATGAAGAGAGCCCATCCAGCCAGTCACAGTCAGAGAAACAAGACTACACTGAAAAACAGGCCAAGCTTGAACATCTGTAAACAAAGGTGGTGATGGCAGCAGCAATGCTGATATTTCTCTCCAGGATGGAGTTACAGCCAAACAGGAACAGACCAGATGGAGCTACTATGGGAAAAGGCAGAGAGAGTATAGCATTAGAGATTGAACTAAGAGATTCTGCAGTGATAAAACGAAGCAGAACGATGAAAGAGGGTCCCCACGTCCTCCTGCAATCCAAGATTACAGCAGCATAACTATAGAGATAGCTCAAAATAGCCTGAGCCACTCCAACTATAAGATTTATTAAAAAGGGAAGTTTTAAGCCTAGCCATAAAAGTAGACTGGGTGTCTGCCTCACAGACTAAAACTGGTAGTTGGTTCCACAGGAGAGGGACCTGATAACTAAAGATCTGCCTACGGTACTTTTAGAAATTCTAGGAACCACTAGTAAACCTGCAGATTAAGAGCGAAGTGCTCTGTTTGGGAAATAAGGAACAATCATGTCTCTGGTATCAGATGGAGCTTGGCCATTTAAGGCTTTGTATGTGAGAAGGAGGATTTTAAATTATATTCTTGATTTAACAGGAAGCCAATTAAGAGAAGCCAAGATAGAAGAGATATTATCTTTCTTTTTAATTTTAATCAAAACTCTGGCTGCAGCATTTTGGTTCAGCTGAAGGCTTTTAACTACTATGGGATGGATATTACAATACAGTACACAACTTTCTAACAAAGAGGATATGATGATATGAGGCATCCTTTTCTATTTTCTTGCAACGAAATGCTGAAAAGTCTGGGATATGGACACCATTCCTTCATAGGTAACATTTTTGGTCATTATCCTGTTAGAGGGAGCACCACCACCCCAGTGTCAAGCCTTTTGTTGCTTTTAGCAGGTTTTCTTTCAGGATTTACCTGTATTTAGACACAACATCTTCCCATGAACTCTGACCAGCTTCCCTACCCTACCCTAAAGGAAAGTAACTCCACAGTACAATTCTGCCACCACCATACCTTCCAGTGGGGGTGGTATAATCAGATGGAGCAGACAGTGTGTTTTCTGTTTAGGTATAAGTTTGTTGTCTTATTTGACCACCTTCTACATGCTTGCTGAGTCTGCTACATGTCATTGTGAAGAAGACTTCTCATTGCTTTCCTTTAACTTGCCTTTCTTCATTTAGGCGCATCAGAGTAATTTACGGCACACTTTTCAGCTTTTTATTCATAAATTATTTTAAATATTAGATGTCATTTACTCTCATTTTACAAAGATGAGTGACTGGCCGTTAGTTCACCACAGCTACATTAAATGCATTATGTTTTTTTTGCATTTATGCCTTATGTCCAGGAGTCTGATTTCTCCATCAGGTAAACAGGAAGCTACATCCATGCAATATGTGTGAATATGTCTGCAATGAGCATATATTAAGTTTCTCACCTGAACTTTACTGTGTTCTTATAACTGGGAGGGAATTAGATTATATGTTACTGAGCTGGAATTTGTATGTTTGATTAGACAGCTTTATTGACGGTAATTTGAAGGAATAGCAAAGAGGGAAACTGTGATTGCTTTGAGGCTGCAACATCAGGATGTTTGTTGGCCTTTGTCCCACTTGGATGTAGCAGTTTAATGACAGAGCGGCTGGGCACAAACCTGGCTGCTGCTCAGGATTTCTCCGCTCTGATCTGAGGAGGCACCGTGCCAAGTCAAACAAAATCTGAAATGAAGCTCAAAGGATTTCAGAGCGGAAAGTAAAAAGCACCGATTCATGACTAAAACCAAAAACTGCAGTAAATCTGCCGTGAAAGGTGATCAGAGGGAGTTTAAAGATGTCGTAAGGTGTATTTCTCTAAGTCAGCAGTACATCATGATAGTTGACTTCATCCCACATGTGCTTTAAATGTCTGCCTGTGAATTTTTTTTTTTGTCCCACAGGTCTGCATACCATCCTAGTGTAAGTGACCTGGACTACAGAGTTTTGCTGCGTTTCCCTCAAAGAGTGAAGAACCAGGGAACTGCAGACTTTCTCCCAATGAAACCCCGACATGAATGGGAATGGCACAGCTGTCACCAGTGAGTTACTGAAAAACAACAACCCATTCCCCGAATATAAAGTGTACAAAATCAGTCAAGGCAGATGTCTTCGATAGTAGATTTTATTCTTGGCTTTAACTGGGTCATTTTGAAATATATTTAAATGCTTTCATCAAAGCTGGTGCTGGGTGATTACCTGTCCCTCAACCCTCAAGTTGTTGTAGCCTTCCTCAGCCTCTCTGCTGGGGAAAAAGCATCCAGAGAGTATGATGGGTAACATGTTTAAACCCACAGGTTTGTGAGTTCTTAATGGAAAGCTGCAGGATCTGGTAAATAATGGGGCTGCAGTGTTCTTTTCTGAATCACCTAAAAGTTAAAAAAGCAATTCACTGGACTTTGTTTCAATAAATATTTAATTTTATTTTTTTATTTTTTTTACTTTTTTGGGATGACTATGACCTGGATGACTGATAATCTTCACTAGCATGTCCTTTTCTGAAGTTTCGCTCAATACTTTTCTGTTTGCTCCACAATAAACCTTTATCTGTGTTAACTTCCTAATTAGAATGTTAATTAGAAACTGCACCTTACAGAACCACCTAAAACAAAATATATAGTAAAAATATAATTAACAAATGGCTTTTGGTCAAGCTGGTCTAAAGTTAGGAACAGTATGTTTGAAAGCAGTCTTTTAGACGCCAGGCAAGTTTAACCTCAAAATTAAGGAATCATATTAGGAATGAATTATTCCTTGGTCTGATTCATTAGCTAAATTGTAGATAATTCTTATGAAAACGCTCAGCTACTGCTCTGTAAATGTCTACTATACTACTTTTGCTGTATATTTGCACAGTGGAGAACAGTTCCTTTCGCAAATGACTCACGTGCTAACGACTAAACAGTCCCTCTTTCTGAGTGTGTTTGTTTGCGTGTCCGTCTCTCTGCAGACATTACCACAGCATGGAGGCCTTCAGTAACTACGACTTACTGGATATCTCCACTGGACAGAAGGTTGCTGAGGGACACAAAGCCAGTTTCTGTCTGGAGGACACGTCATGTGACCCAGGAGTCCGGCGACGTTTTGCCTGCACCGCTCACACACAAGTTAGTAAGCTCTAACAAACCCATTTGTTTGGTCATTTGTACTTAATAATCTTTTATAGTTGTTTTCTCTATGATTTATTGATGTATTAATCCCATTCCTGAACATTAAAGATGGGCTAACCCAATAATTGAGTGTAAAATGTGTTTGGTTTGTTTTAAGGGGCTTGGTCCTGGATGTTATGACACATACCATGCTAACATTGACTGCCAGTGGATCGACATCACTGATGTACCTCCTGGAAATTACATTCTTAAGGTGGAATTGCAATTAGTTTCTCCATACTCTATCTCCTCCATGTATTTTTTGTTCTACCATAATCCAAGTTGTATGTCTCCGTTTCCTGTTTTGCAGGTGACAGTGAACCCCTCCCAGCTGGTCCAGGAGTCTGATTTCTCCAACAACGAGGTGAGGTGCGACATCAGGTACACAGGAAGCTACGTCCAGGCAAGAAACTGCAGGATTGTCTTGTAAGTCACATTTTGAGCATCTACCTCTTATTTATATCTTGACTCAATCAGAGAAAGCACAATGTTAATCATCGCTGTCTCTGTTTTCCAGGAGCTGACCTGCAGAAGACACAGACATGCCTTTTTATTCTTAAAGTAAAGCTGCTATTGTTTGGATGCTGTTTCACTTTTTACCAATAAAGTAGCCTTATATATGATATACATCCCACTAATTACTGGCAAGCCTGTTAAAAAGTGTAAAAAATACTCAAAAAGGGCTGTTTTCTTCTATTATTTAGGCTCTCTCTCAATGTTAAAAGAATCAAACCATTTTAGAAGACTTAATAAGAGGGGAAGACAATCTTAAATAATAAATAAATATTTTCAATGTAATTATTTGGAATCAGGTGGAAACACATAAGACATATTTACCCTTCCTCCTGAAAAAAAAACTGTCTAGATTACCCAGAGTCCTCTTTCTTCTACTTTACTCTCCTTTCTTCATGCAACCTCAGGCATCGTGGATTAAGGTCTGAGGACTAAGGTCATAGAAGAAGGTTGGTTCTTCACAGTGAGCTTGAAAAGCTTTTCTTTTAATTAATACCGGTACTTATTTTACAGCAGATCCCTCCGGGCTGCTTTTTACCCATAAACTGCTTCATAATCATCTGACCAAAGTGTATTGCTCCAGTTAAAGTCCCAATATTGCTCCGTAAACTACACAAATTTATGTTTGCAGTGATCAAACTGTAAAGCTTGTTCCTCCCAAAATATTAGGATATTTCTCCCAAATAATAAGGTGACATTTAAAGATGTCTAGTCACTGTTTTAAAGAATTTTGGATCCTCTCTATGCATGAGCGTTGAAGATTTTACCTTCTTCAACATCAATGCACATGATGCCTGGTCAAACCGAGGCCCTTATTTACTCCTCAGAGCTCCAGCTCTGCGTTAGCTGTAGATATGAGCAGACTTAGGTGAGTAAATGCTTTCTTGCAGCCATTTCCTGAGTTATTGAGATCTGCTCACATCTGTCTTGGATGGGACGTCCTCCTGTCTTTCCCAGTTTGAAGAGAGGATAAGAGAAACAGGCTTCTGTGGCATATGGATTACAATTTAAGACACTTCTTGGATACTCGTCAAATTAAGAGGTGTTCATTTGAGAATTTCTTTTTTTATAGGGTAACAAAGTAAAGATTTGTAAGCAATTATTTCTCCATGCGTTTTTATCCCTACCAAATAAACGCACACTTATTAATTAAAGTCCATTTTTTTCCCTCAATATGAGTAATGTTACAGTAATAGAAGATTAATATATATATTTAGATGGTTGTTATGCATCTGTACCAAGCCTTTTAATAGGTGTAAAGGAGTCTGTATATGTTGCAGCAAAAAATAAGCCAAGTTTTTTTTATATGAACAGGTTTACAAGCAATGCAACAAAGAGGCCAACTAATAACTGTATGTCTGCAATGGACATATAAAATATGTGCCAGAGGTTCACATAAATGATTGTAAAGTGTCCTTAAGTACAAATAAAGTTTCAGAGTAGAATGGTCACTTTTTTTGCATTACTTCTGAATTTCTTGTTGTGTAATTGTATAATTTGTATTTTGGCTTGTTTTAATGTGTTGTGTTGCATGTTGTTTTGTGTTTTGGTGTTGCCTTATTTAGCACTTTGAGTTCCAGGTGTGTTTTAAATGGGCCTTACAAATAAAGTTGAGTTTTGGGAAATGTTAACTGTGGTGTTCTTTTCCACTGTGGGACTGAGCTGAATTACACAATATTATTTAGTTTCTCTCAGTTTTTTTCTTGACCTCTGTTTATACACTGGGGTTCCATTAAAAATCATGTCTGAATCTCAGATATTCCTGTTAATAAAAACATCACATTACAACATTTAAGTATTTTAATGTCTGCTGGTTCATTGGCTTACTCTTCTGAAAAAAACACATTCAATGATTCCACTTTGCATGCTCAGGTCTGGAAAAAACAGGAAAATAAGAAGCACTGCATCACCCCAGCAGGCTGTCTCTGTGTATTTGTTGTGTTGAGCTGCAGCGGGTGACTGATTGGGAAAACATTTCTTCGTCTGGCAGTAACTCCAATTCAGCCTCCTGGGAACGTCTCAGTTTATTTGCACTTTGTCTCCGGGTTTAGGCATGGCACGCTGTTAAGTAGCTGGCACCTGGAAGGGTATAAATAATAAATATGGGTAATTATTTCGAACACTGCTTCCTTTCTGGCTCTTTTAAATTGAGCTGTTTGCCATCCATGAAAAACACTCCACACTTAAAAACACAGAAATTCCTGTCAATGTTTTTTTATAATCACTTTAAAGGCAGATTTGCTTTTGAACTCCGGATACACAGCTGCATGCACATTTACTGTAGTAACTTTTACCTTTTAGCTATGCCCACACACTAAATCTTGATAAATTTCAAGTCATTCAGAAATAACTCAGGATGTTTATCTAAGGAGCATGCAGGTGGTTTGGTGGTGAATTGAATGGAGTGTTCCTTTCAAATAATATTTTTTTGGCTAACTGTTAGAGTCCTTTGCAATGTTTTTGAACATACAATCATATTAGACTAGATTTAACCTGATTTCATTCATTCTCTTGGCCAAATATTGCTTCTTTTTGGAGCCCATGCCCTGTTTGGCCAGAGCCCTAAAGAGTTTAGCCACTGCTCTGTGTCTGAGGGTGATTAAGGGTCACAACGGAACCTCCAGGCAGCTGTTTGCTCAGGGCAGGGTGGCGTGCCGACTGTGCAGGCCATGCACGATAGGCAGGGCTGCAGGCCGGTCCTGTGAGAGATGGCGAGGAGAAGAGAAATTCCACAGATCCAGTGATGGCCAGGAAAACTCCATCTGCAAACTGCTGACCTCAGTGGCTCCTCAGCTCCGCCATTCTTATCGGGGACAGACTGTCTGTATGGCTGCATCAGAAAGTCTAACTGTCTGAGACTGTCAGGATGTCAGAGCCAACAGGGCCGACTCCAGGGAAACAAAAGGAATAATATAGAAGATCTCTGTTATGGAAGGTTTATTTCTAATGCACCATGTTAGCTTTCTCTTTATCAATTCTTCATTTGGTGCAATGAATTACCTTTACTCAACTTCATATGATTTGGCATGCAATGCACTACAGCAAAAGGCTGCATTTTGTTCTCTTTGCATCACTAGTCCAAGAATTGATTACAAATAATGCATGAAGTTAACCTATTACTGATATAAAGCAGCAAACAATCACCAGACTTCAAACAGGGTTTTAGTTTGTCTCTCACCACTCTTCAATGAAGAGCAGAACAACAGCATGCACCACTTTAGGTGGCCGGGCAAATGATCAGTTTACTGCAAATCTCTGAAGCCACCATGGGCCTCAAATTCATATAATGTTTTTAAACTAGTATTTAACTCTATTGAATAGTTCACATTTTGAAAAATCCTCTTATAATTGAAACAAAAAGTAGTTTTCTAACTTATCAGTTTTTGAAGTAAGATAGATAGATAGATAGATAGATAGATAGATAGATAGATAGATAGATAGATAGATAGATAGATAGAT